AAGTGATATTGTAAGTTTTCAAAGAGAAAATAAACTTTTGATGGAGAAATAAAGCTGTACCCAAAATCCCTGGTACCACAAGTTAGGGGTACAAGAGGGCGGTACAGCGCCGTCCACAAAAAAAGAAAAAACGTACATTGCCTATAGATTATTATTTCATATTTGTGTAACTTCAAACCAAATTACCCTATATGTATACAAATTCATCAAATTAGTGAATTTTGCAGTACTTATAATTCTGAAGGATATACACAGTTGTATAACATTTCTTTTAATGTAACACTTAATTCAAGAAATATTATAACTACTACTACTAACTAAGCACTGTTAGATAACATTGGCCTTTCTGTAATTATAACGTTTTCTAATAAACAATAACAATAAATAACAGCTGCTGCGATAAACAAATGATTTCACACAAACGCATGCAACGATAAGGGACATTTGTACGAACGTCAAACGAATGATCATTCATTCGGATCCATTCATGCGTTCATTCATTGCGGACTGAAATAGCGTTTATCTGTCCGTCTGCGGGGAGGAAGTCATAAAGCAATCAGCACTATCGTCTCGGTTTTACTTTTATATATAAAAGTCATTCATTCTGTCTCAATTAAATTGTAACGTCCTAAGAGTCCAGTACACTCAGTTTTAATATTATTAGGTAAATTAGCTAACTGAATTCCCCGTAATAGCGAAGCCTCAGAAAACAGATGCTTTGCTTATATTTAAATGACGGAGAAGGGGACACAGACAGAAGATATTCTCCTGTCCTATGCGTCTCTATCTCAGTCAAATCATCCTATTCCAATCCTTAAGAGAATAAGATTATTAGTTGCTAGCTGTTGCCCGCGACTTCATCCGCGTGAAAATAAAAATATGGCCTATTTACTCACTGATAACGTAGCTCTTTAATAGTGTAAGAATTTTTGAAATCTACCCAGTAGTTTTGAGTTATTTCAGGCGAAAAGTTGAACTGCTTCTACTTTTCCCCTGTCTTCTATGTGGCCATGGTGGCACCAGAAACAGCTGGATCTCAATAAATTTCGTTAAACATTGTACACGCCAGTCTGTTAAATGTAGGCTTGTGGCTTTCAACTGCGGGATAACATAAACGTATATTGTCGTCTCTATCATTCTATTCCGTAAAATAAAGATAGCAATATATTTCATACCATGAGTTTAACGGTATGACGTCACAGTAAACAACATTCACTATGTAACAAGTTATGATTCCAATGAAAACCCCGAGATAAGACGTAATAAACAACTTGTTCAACTAATTAGTTAAGTAAATCAACAAGTTGTTTAAAACTATCAAAACCAGTATTTCCCAAAAGCAAACCGCGGCCAGTTTTCCCCATTCTCACCTCAGTATAAAGTAACTCGATAATAACATACAATTTGTATTAATTCTCGTTTATTGTAGAAGTCTGGATTCTAATAGCTAAGTTGTAGAATTTTCTAGAACATACCAGATGTTATATAAGCTAGCTGGATCGAGTACGTCGTGAAGAATCTTGCAAACCATCGAATTGTATCACTTTCTACCAACCATCAACCATGAAAACCATCGACATGTAAGCAATCTTTTTCAGTACCAGAAATACCATCTACTTTTACTTATAACAATGGGTAAAATCGATAGAAAGAGGTGTGTAAGTATAGCATTGGCTAAGTAACATCACTAAAATACTGACACCAGCTAACCTCTAATGGAGAGGCAATATCAGTACAGTCAACGTAACAAATCGTACAAAAAATAATATAAAAATATTCAATTGTATTGCCTTGTGTATTGCAGTGTACATGTTTAATATAAACGCTATCTTAATGTCTCTTTTACGGAACAATAATGGTTACATTATAATTATTATGGCCGGACCAATAAATTATTGCGTCGATCATTAATTATATGTGATTGAGAAATGTCTACTGATAAAAGTATTCAACCCTAGTAGCGTTTTAAGATTAAAAACTTAACTCAGAGTATAATTATTGACAACATTTAAATAACATTAATATCTATTGCTTAATGGCTGCGTCTCATTTTAACTACGAATTTTAATTTGTAAAACAAAAACTAACATCAACATAATTTACAAGCATCAACTATGCTTAGGGCCGTTAAGTACAGAAGATATCCCTTAAATTGGTAAAGTGCATTATACCCAAAAAAAAAACAGGAAACATAACGCAAATTATATTAACAAAAATAATGGAAAAAGAAAAGGAACTCATGAATGTAGCAGAAGGATTACGTAACAAAAAAAATACTCAAAAATAGAAAATAAACTGTGCAAAAGAGTACAGACCAAGAGTCTGTAGATGTTTAAAAAATATCGGTAAAATGATGGTCACTTCTTCAACAGGTAAACCAATTTAAGGGTAACCATTATTTGATTGAATTATTTTATTTGAATAAACAATTACCACAGACTAAAATATCCATAACAAATAGATCACAAATGTGTACAATCTGTTCCGCCTATTTGAATTTGGAACGCAGAGTAAGCTGGCAAGATGACAGATCATTCCCGCCAACAAATCTCCCTCCGCCTCGCTCGAGCTCCTCCTAATGAGCGTGCCTTGGATCTAGAACTAAGACACAGTGTAGGTATGCAGTACAACAATTTAATAAATAATTTAGATGGCCTCAAATTACTTAGAAATCTGCTGCTAAATTAAGATTTTATACTCGTTTGGTGTCCTGTTTATATAATTTGAAAACAATGTTTTTTTGTATGTGACAAATTTATCGTTTCCTTACTATTAATATAAGCAGTTATTGTTTATTGTTACCTAACTGAAAAACTTTTATAATTTATAGAAGTCATTTTACTCCAATAACATTACATTGAGAACATGTCCATATCCATGTCCATCCAGAACAAGAAACACAATTTTAGATAAGTATTTATTATAACATTTGTATTTTCTACACTGTAACATCCTCGCAACGAGCGACTTCGTACAAAGCTGGCCCCTGTACCCTGAAAATTAACAGCCACGCAACATTAAAGTGATTAATTTGGACAATTAAGACCAAGAGTGCGCTTAGTACGAAAATTAATAAGTTATTTTTAATTACGGGTTAATTGTGCACAAGCTGTTTCAATTAGCTTGTAACGATCGAGCGCGTTCGCTGAATGTATCGCTTTGCTTGTAAATGACACGCATCCGAGTTCGAGTTGAAACCCCAAATGACAATGACGAATGTGTTCTTTAGTTTAAAAAAAATAACTAAAAGTTAAAATACTGGAACCCAATTCTCAATTTCAATTTGATCTTTGTTATCCGGCATTTTTTATCTGTGGAATATTCTATTGATCGATTTTCTTTCAATGATACCAACATATAGATCCAATCTTAGGTTTAAATATTTTTCTTTCTAGCGAAGATAAGACGAGTTTCTAGTTTAATTTTTTATAAGAGAAGGGGGCAAACGAGCGGCGGGAACACAGTAGTGG